TGTTCGCACCCACCCTCAATTCTTCCCATCGGTTGACGAACTCGTCATCGAGAGGAATCGGTTCAATTTGCAACGATTTATCGAACTTCATTTTTCGGTTATGATCTCGTAAGTACGTCTTCCAGTCGAAATCTGCGTAAGTCACAATTCTCCAATGCTATTTAATGGTTTCTACTTTTGAATGCTACTAACCAACGTCTGGCAGTACATTTTTCTTCCAATTTAGCTCTCCGTTCTCTTCTGCCAAATAAAAGCGATCCTTTATGAGTCGTTGAAGGTCGACTTCAGAGCCAAGCACTGGATCCCTTCGTAGGATCTGAGGAATAAAGTTAATCATTATTGTTTAGTTATCTTTTTTCGATAAGGAAACGCGCCATCAAGTTCTTCACAATTCTTGCAAATCGTATTGTCGATGATTTTCAACTGTGTAGATTATATGTCAGAGGAATATTTGTTGTTGAGAGAGTATAATAAATAGTTTAGGGAGCCGAAGGAAAAATAACTAACCAAGTCCTTTCCATCAAAATTCACTGCCATTCGCATGTTCTTCTCATTGCATAAGCCAAGTCGTCGGTTATGCAAACCCTCTTTTGTGCCGGATGACGTAGCTAAAATTATTATTGATCCGACGTAAAAAAATTGAATAAAACTAAAGCGTAAAAATATGACTGGTTTGCAAGATGTTAGCATAATACCATTCCGGCAGCCCTAATCGGTCACGAAAGCAGACTCGATAATTGTTGAATTTCAGCTGTGAAAGTCGTTTGAAAACAAGCTTTTAATATGTTTTTTTGGCTTGGCATTTTTCGGCATTTTTAAGTAGTCTCCTATATATGAATCATCATTTTACAATAAAGCCTTAGTTTGTCTGTATTTATACGTGTGTGGGCTTTTCTCTGTCTGTCACGAAATTAGTTCATTTGGTAACATAGGCTACTTTATATGGTAATTAATCGTCTGAAGCGTCAATTTGCGAATTTTTAGCCAGATTACATCATTCCTAAAAATGAAGTGATTCAATCGTTATCGGACTACTTAATTAGCATCGTCTAGACACATATAGTTTGTGAATAGAAGTGCGCTGAAGCGAAGCAGTTGCTCATATGGATTAACGGGAATCAGAGTAACGATAATTGTAAGGCAGGGGCAGCCAAATTGTGTATATTAATGTTTTCGTTTGCATTCGAAGAAACGAAGGAATAAGATAACAATCATTTGAAAGTGTGTGAGCTGGCATCTGAGCATTCACCTGCCTTGAGTAACTACAAGAATTTGGTAGGCTTACCTATTTGAGACCGGGGAAGGTGTTGGGGAGGGGTCTCGAAGAACACTCGGAACTTTCTGCACTTCCACTTCCTCTCTACAGTTGTAGTATGAATTAGTCATTTCTTCGGTTGAGCAATGGTTCTAACTTTTAGTGCTGCTCCATAATCTGGCTTTACTGCGTCAAAACAACATAAAATTCAGAAGACAGTAGACGGGCGATATAGCAAAAACGGACGTAGTAATGGCATAAAGCCCCACAAAAATATAAAGGCTAAGTTGCAAGTTGTACCTCAGAGTTTCTAAAAAAGCGAGCATAGCCAAATATACTAGCTGCTTATTAGTGATTCGATGACGCTGAATATGGACTTTGTTGCGCCAAACAAGTTCACTGTTTGAAAATGAATTTATGCACTTATT